TTTTTTTTTTTTCTTGTTCTTTTTTTTTGGTTTTAAGTATTAGATTTTGGTTGGATTGGAAGTATTACACTGAGTTACAGATGTTTAGTCATTGGGTTCAAAGTATAAATAATATAAATGCTAATTTTTAATTGGATACTCAGACTTTGTAAGGAGTGAGGTAGAGCTTCATTTCATCATTTTTTTCTCTTTACTTAAAAGTATTGTAGAACTCACTTTACTATAGATAAGAATTCATAAACAACTGAGTCTAAACACAACAATTTTGGATTTTGTGTTTTAATTTTTGACTTTGAGCAAAAAAAAAAAAAAAAAGTTAGCCACTAATACTTCCATGGTGTGGAGCCCTTTGTGGTGGCACCTTCTCCAGGTCAAGGTCACCCAAAATTGTGGCTCTGGGAGGACTCAAATTCTCCTTGAAGCTGAGTAGGGATCTGTAAAATCTGTCCCCAAAGAGGCAGAAATTGGTGCAGCCAGAAGAGACCTCGGCCTGGAGTTAATTCCAAACATTCCGTTGAAATCTCGAAGTTCTCTTAGGAATACATTAAAAAAATCTTAATTTTCCTTCCCCCCACCCCCGAAGTACTGACCACTACAGAAAAAAAAAGAGAGAATTTAATAAAGCAGTAATAAAATAAAAATACATTTCATTAAGATGAGTCTGGCACATCCTGCAGTTATTTCTTTTCTTACCTCTTGCAATTATTTTCTAATTTTACGGTCTTGCAAAAGAGAGGCAATGAATTACTTTTAAATTGTAAAATAGCTCTGCTTGTGAAGTGTCATCAGGATTTGCTGATAATAATGAGAGGTACCTGGAGGATAATGACTTTAAGCTGCCTCACAAATATTCATTAACAGTCAGCCAGTGCTTGCAATTTCTGTTATTATCCTATTAAACAAAGGCCGGGAGTTATGAGGATTTATTCTGAGTTAGGAGCTCCCTTGTTGTGAAACAACATCATTTAAAAATATCAATCAGTGTCACTCCTCTTGATTCCCTAATCAGCCTCTGATTAATAATTTCGGTGCTGACACTGATTGGATTTTCATTCATGAGATCAAATGCTTTATTTTATTAACTATTAATGTGTTTGGGGTGATTATGACAAGTACATAATCTGGCACATGGACTGCAGCTTCTCCTTTATTTATGAGGCAGCATTTTGCTGAAATATCTTAAATTTTAGGGGAGAAACGAAAGCCTGATTGCAAATTAAATGAATTTTCAGGCTTAGCTACCAACGTTCTGCAGAAAGGGGGTCTCAAACTGATGTTCTAAAATCCCTTGGGCTCTCACCTGTAAATATTTTGTGAATATTTTGCCCATGAAATTGTGCAGCTCACCCTTGCTCCTGCCCTGCTTTTGGGCTCTGACGTTTCTGTGTTTGTGTCTAACGCCCCAAATGTGAATTTCCAGTGGGGCGTTCAGGGTCTTGGAAGGATCTGGAACATCCCCGAAGTGCCAGGGCCTCCCTGACATTCCAAAGCCAGCAGGGAATGGAGCAGTGGAACCCACCTTGAGATTGTTGAGGGATTAATGGTGCTTGAACTTCAAGCACGTCTTAAAACCCCTCACTTTTCCAAAACGTTTGGAGATAATTGATAATTGATATTGTCTTCTCTCCCTCTTTCCGTGCAGCTTCCACGGATTTTTCCACAGGACCCACCTAAACCCCACCGATTCTAAAAGACAGCTTAATTAATCTGAACTCATCGAACCTAAATGAAGTGCTCACGATTTTATTACCTCATCATTCACCGGCTCGATGCCCTCAAGTCTGTCCTGACATCGCCTCACGCCCGTTCCTGAGCGTGGGGAGTGGCAGTGCAAAGCCAGCAGAATTAAATCCCTCCGTGCCAGGTTTGTTTTGTGTGGGACCAGAGGCACGGAGGGAGTTTTGTCCCTGTAAGCACTTTGGGAAATGTATAAAAGCTGCCACCACTCCGAGCCTCTCCATCCTCATCTCCTGAGTTGCTCCTGGTGAAAAAGGTAAGGCAGATTTAACTCCTCGATCCTTCTCTATTTTTCTTTTTTTTCTTTTTTTTTTTTTTCCCATCTGATTCCTTGATATTATGGATTGGCAGATTAAAAACTGGCTCACAGAAGGCTGTAATAGAGAGTAAAAGAGTAAATGTAAATATATTCTCTGTAAAAGAGAATAAAATGTGAATTTTCACCATGCCAATTGGAATTACCATTTCCCAGGCGTTTTAGGTCCAATGCCTGAGTGTAAAATTTAAAAATATCTGAGAGATCATTCTCACCTTGGGGGAATATTTGTGAATTTTCTGCTTTGGAAGATGAGGGCTACTTGGGAAAGGATAAGAAACGACAAAAATTGCTGCTTTGGAGCTGACAATTCCAAACTTCCTATGGACACCTTGGCAGATTTCAGGTGCTCTTAATGAATGTATGAGCAGATAAAAGCAGATTAGTGGCAGTGAGGGATTCAGCAGAGGTGACACCAGGTGTGTTCACCTGAGTGTGACACCTGTGTGCTCCGGAGAGCAGCCAGAGGCTGGAATGCGATTTGTGTGCCGGGATGAGGGTGAGGATGGGAGAGCGCTGAGCTCTGGGCTCTGCCATTTGCCACGGGCAAGCAGAGGCAGGGCCAGGTGGGAAGCTGTGGATGCGAAACCTTGGCGGTGCCGTGCGTTGCAGGCTCCCGGCACAGAAGGATGTCGTACTCCAGCGAGCCCTGCGGCGTGAGCTGCCCGCAGCCCGTGGCCCAGAGCACCAACGAGCCGTGTGTGCAGCAGTGCCCCGAGTCCCGAGCGCTGATCCTGCCCCCGCCCGTGGTGGTGACCATCCCGGGGCCCGTGCTCAGCACCTGCCCCCAGGAGAGCGTCGTGGGATCGTCGGGGCCAGCGTGGCTGGGGCGTTCCTTCAGTTCCCGCAGCTCCCAGGGCTACGGGGGCAACTTTGGCCTGGGGGGTTCAGGGGGCTCCTTGGCCTTGGAGGGCTCCTCTGGCTCTGGGGGCTCCTTTGGGTCTGGAGGTTATGGGGACTCCCAGGGCTATGGGGGCTCCTTTGGGTCTGGAGGTTATGGGGGCTCCCAGGGCTATGGGGGCTCCTTTGGGTCTGGAGGTTATGGGGGCTCCCAGGGCTATGGGGGTTTCTCAGGCTATGGGGGCTCCCAGGGATTTGAGGGCTCCCAGGGCTATGG